ATCGTTGGTGACTTTGACTAGGGCGGTTTCTGTGCTGTGAAGTTGACGGAAGCCAGATTGGAGGGGTTCGAAAAGGTTGTTTGTCATGAGGTGGTTATGTAACTGAAGTGTGACAGCACGTTCTAGAATTTTAGAGAGAAAGGGTAAGTTGGAGATGGGGCGAAAGTTGTTAAGATTGTCGAGAGCCATGTTAGGCTTAATTAATTAATATACAGTTACAGGCAGGCACAATGCATTCAAGTTTTGTTCACATAATTTTCATAATGTTTGACACAGTTTAACATGATTAACAAAAAAGTATGATGTCATTAGAACAACCATGGGACTCATTCACAAAAGCTTCTCATGTGATAAGGTGCACCTTATAGTAGTAGAAACCTTTGTGCTAGTGGCCTTATGTACCAAACAATTTAATGTGTTCGGCAATTCTGAAAATAGTAAGGATCCAAACCCCCAATGTTATATAGATTTCACGCACACAAGAGTGAAAGGATGATTTCTTACAGGTGTTAAGTCAAGATAGGACTCCAGCTTCTTTTTCAGTGGTACAGTCTCTTGTTTTAGCTTGGCTAATTTCTGCGAAGGGAAATTTAACAGATTTGAAAAATTCCAACATGCCAGTAAATGTCTGTATGCGTGCATGCGCAATAATCATTAGTATGATTTATTCTTTTTTCCTTTTAAACTTTTTGTACAGGCAGTGTGTTTTGTACTATAAGATCTTTATTTTTTCCCCAAATATGTTTGAAAAGGAAATAGGCAAGAGTGCAAAAGCAATGTAGAAATAAGTACATAGTCGCAAATAAAATTAATATATAATATATTTTATATAATCTACTACTAAGGATAGTGGATCCTAATATCGATCCTTGTAGTGCTTCACATACACAAATTCAAGACTCGAATGTGAGAATGTAGCCCTTATCTGTACTGTAATGTTTTTTAACAACTAACCTAAGTTCTTAAACAAAGTACAACAATTACCTAAAAAGCTTACTGCATGCAATTTAAGAATTAATCTTTTATGGGGAAAAAAATGTTTTCAAAAGCTGTATGAACATCTAAACATAAAATAAGTGATTAGCCACCAACCTGAATGCAGTCAAATATCAGTGTTAAGCAGTTTTGTGCTACTTAGGGTCTATGAAAATGTTGATTAATGTGTAACTTTAAATTCCACATAGTTTTGAAGAATTGTGAAATATTTTACCTCTGAAAGTTCTACGATTGCCTGGTGAGTTAAGGAAGGCTCCATCCCAGTAGCAGACAACTGATCCTGTAGGGAGACCCCCAAAAAAGATAAATAAGATAGATAAATAAAAAAAGATAATAAACACTGTTACTGTTTATTGGGAATTGGCTATTGAGGTGTCATAATATAAGAAACATGGTCAGCACCTGGCTAGTGTTAACATTTCCAGTTCTCAGGAGCTTCAAAGCAAGGTGGTGTTTGCTGAGATGTAGGGCTCTGAGATTCACGAATCAAAGCAATCATAAAGTTTATACTGGTTAACCTTAGGGCTTAGTGTATTAGGAACACAGTGTAAAACAGGCAGGTTCAGATAGAAAAGATAGAAGACTTGGGACAAGACAAAGACAGAGCCAAGTGAGGAAAGTCCTTGTTCCGATCAGCCATTAAGACCAGAGTTGAGTTAAGTATTTGAATCGTGTTCAAGAGAGCACGAATAAGGATCCCTTATTTGATGAGAGTCCGGATTAGCTGCATTTTTAGAAAAGGATAATAGGTTTCCCATTCACTTTGTAGCATCCAGATTTAAAGAGAGAGATTTAACTGTAGGTCATATTCTGTTGGTTTAGAAGCCAATTTCTCTCTCTTGTGGACCTGTAGAGGCGTTATATAGGATGGAAAACTTGCTAGCGGTCTGGGGTTTTTCTGAGTAGTCAGTACATAGGCCTCTGTTTTCTTTACCACATTGACTCAGTACTTTCAATAAATGAACACCTGTTTTTCCTCTTTCCCTGTCATCCCCTAAACATTTCCCCTCTGTGTTTAGCCAGAACACAACTACAAAAAAACAGAAAAGAAATTGAGAGAGCAGTGATTAAAAAACACTTTCATATCAACTTTAGAAAGCAAGCCTTAACTGAAACAGTGGAGTAGTATCATTTCAATTTCACTGGTGTCTAGCTACACATACTGTACTAGAGAAATTATATTTGAATCCTACTGACCTCTGCTGTTTTTATTCTAAATGACAAGTCCTCAGATTTTGCTCTGAGAAAGTCCAGATTCTGGAGTCTGTTTTCAGCTCTAGCATTCTCTACTTCTTCAGATTCTTCAGTTTTAGTCAGGTCCCTAACAAAAAAGAAACATTTGACTTATAATTTCAGAATGTACAGGGGGATGCAATAGTGTTAAAAACAATATATGTCCTTGGTAAAACAGGAGATGAGAATCTTTGCCTTAAGGAAAAGATAAAACAGACAGGAATAAGTACAACAGCTAAACAGTGCTATTGGAAAGACACAAAATAGGTGAATAACTATGCATGAAGGTATCTCTTTGGAAATACAAAATGTTAACTACAATGTAGACCAAATGCCATTCCACTTACTCCTGTAAAGCCTTCCTCTGTACGATAGCAGCAGTGAGTTTTCTCCTCAGAATGGTGAGGTCCTGGTCCATTTGACGGTTTTTCTTTTCCACTGTCATAAGCTCTGCTGTCAGGTCATTCATGGCAGCTACAAAACTTAAAAAAAGACATACTGACATTACAGTGAGATTGATACTCCGTTTTGAATTCTGCACAAAATTTAAGTAACTGATTAAAATGAATAAACTGACCAAAAAACCCCAGTTTATACACCCTGTAACTCAAAAACAGATTTAATCTCTCAAACTCTCTATCGGCTGTGGAGTCAAAGAAAATACATTAATTCAAAATAAAACTAAATTAATAAAATGCCCTACCTATTTTTGTAAGGGAATATTTGCTTATCAGGGTTTTCTTTTCCAAAAGCAGTGGCTACAATGTTTCAAACATTCAAGTAAAGAAATTGCCTGGACAAAATACTACACATTAGACTGATCTTTGAATAATAATCTATGTGAATCGTACATTTTAAGGCTCTTAAGCTTCCTTGGCTGTATAAATGGAGATCAGACAATAGAGTCTATTTAGATGAAGTGAGCAAAGTACATGTCACTTACAAATTTTACATCACTTACCAAAGACTGGTTTTAAGAGGAAACGTATCTCCCATTTTGAAGTACTGCGCAGTATATCCTGCTTTTAGAATTCACAACCAGTCATCAGAATTAATAATACTGAAGCCATAATTACTGGTGGAATTTATATGACCACTGATAGCCTAGCAACCAACAGCTAAATACTGTACACTGATAGGAATTTCCTGAGACACTGCCAGGAGCTACAGTATACTTCCAGAAAAGCAGCAGTTTCAGCACCTTACCACAGTCAAAGTGAATAATATGGTTAACTAATTAATCAGTCTCCAACATGGCTTTACTGCACACAGACTGTGTAAGCCAATCTACAAGATACTGAGCTGGCTAGGGGCCAGTAGCTAGACAAACGTACCCTTACTTATGACCTTCTGAAAAAACAATATTCCTGCACATTTCCACTATCAGTACAGATCAGACCATATATTTAATGGATCAGTGCCTTAGCCTTATTGATAACAATGTATCCCATCTATAGACCCAGACTTAATCCTTAGGAAAACTGCTTTCAATTTACAGTCCTGCACAGTTAGGAAACAAGAACAAGAGACTATAGGAGGCCGTTCAAATCATCCTGCTCATCAACACTTTTCAGAAAGGCTCCTAATGACACAGCATTAACAACAACAATGCCAAATGTCTTTAATTCCAGTTGTCCAAACAATTCCAACAGTGACAATAAGCTCTGTTACACAATAAATAAAACACGCTGTGCTGCATTTGATCTTTGTGCCACTCTGGTCATGTTAGTTGTACCTTGCCAGGGAGGTGTCTTTGGTGTTGAGGGCCACGGCACTGCCTTCCAGAACACTCAGATTACTAAAGGCCCTTTTAGACAAGCTGCTGGAAGACAACCCCACTGCCTGGAGCAGCAGATCCTGAACGTAACTTCCTGGAAAAACAAGACAGATTACAGATTCACCATGGTAACTTTTAAAGGGCATCATAAGAACTGGAAAATTGGTGTAAAGAAATTCACTAAACAAGACTTGACAGGCTATTTAGAGATATGTAAGAAAACTTTAGCTTCACAGCAGAACTGAGCAAAGCATAATTTCCCA